TTTTTTTATGTAGAAGATTATTTTTTTATCATATCTAGAAGAAATTAATTAACTAAACATTATTTTCTTACTGAACTTATTCAAGTAAAAATTAATTTTTGTAGTTTACCATATTATATTCATAATTTGTTATTGAAGTAATTTAAAATTTTCAGTAATCCCAAACACTTTTGTGTCGTATTGTTATTAGGAAAAAAAAAGACAGTTCCAAGACAAAATAGAATACTGCTAATTATGTTAATTAATTTTCCCATCACGATAAATTAATTGGATATTTCTCATTATACATTGAAATATGAAACATAAAAAAGCTTAAAATATAATTTTAATTAATTTCATAGATATAATTAATTTGATCGTTTCATTAAGCATTATACAAAAACATAAAGTTAGCTTTTAATAACGTCGGTCAAAATGTATTAAAATTGGATAAATCAAATTTAACACAATGTAAAAGGTTAATCTTTTATGTTAAAAAATATAAAATAAATTTTAAATTTAATTTTATATTATTAGAATGTATAGATGATTAAACTAACATTTATTACAAAAATAATTTTAGTATGGATAATTTCAAGTTGATGCCATCGGTATGATAAATAAAAGTAAGGATAAATATATTTTTCTTCTACCAATTATTTTTAAAAATTGTTATTTTATAAAAGTTATGTAAAACATTTATCCTTTTTATCACTTCATTAAAAACATCACTACTCTTTTATCATATTAAAAGAAACAATGTTATTAAAAGTTGGTTTGTAATTAAAATCCGAAATATTTCGCAATACTCAAAGTAACCAAAGTTATAAAATTGCATAACCAAATTCGATACTCATTCCTCATAATTGATCTAGAGCCATTGAAACTTTCTGTCCTCAGATTCATCAAACAATTCAATAGATACAAGTTATTATTGTCCAACTTAAAAACATAAAAGACTCAATATTCTCCTACCAACTTTTAGCATGTATGTCATTAAGCAAACTACAAGAATTTTCATAATTATTAATAAAATTTTATTGATGAAAATAAATTTGTTAGTAAACTCAATTTTATTGAGGAATTTTAGAATTTAGTTTATAAACAAAAATATCCATCAAGAATTAATCATTCAGCCAGATTCGTCAATAAATTAGAATTTGTATAACCAATGGATATTTCCATCGATAGTGTATCTAGATCAAATATGTTGACAAATTTTGTAATTTCTATTACTGATGGATTTTTTCATCATTAATCTATTAGTGAAATGAGTGGGAGTTTTTTCACTAAGTCAGATGATTTTTTTCGTTATATATTAAGGGAGATGAGCGAAAAGAAAAAGAGATGTGGGTGGAGAAGGAAAAAGAGGAGGAGAAGAAAAATAAGAGGGGTATGAGGCTCAACAACTACATTGGCCCTTTGGTGGCGATGGTGTAGTGGCGCCTCAACGATAGTGACGACTGTAATTGGAGGAAGAAGAAGAAAGAGAAAGAAGGAGAGGAATAAAAAGAGGAAGAGGAGTAAAGTAGTGGACACAACAACGGTGGAGGTGTGGCCAAGAGGAGAGGAGTAGAAGGAGGAAGAAGAAGAAGAGAAAAAAGAAGAAAAATTCGTAATGGCAACCTACATACAAATATACATCTGTATCTAATATCCGTATGTAAAATAGATTCAACCTACAAATTTTAATATATATGTAATAATAAAAAGTTAAATCAACATTTTCTTATACTAGAAGAGGAAGAGAGTAAGGAGTAAGAAGACCCAATAGTGACATTTATCTACGAATTTTATCGATGATCAAAATTTATCAATAATTATCGACAGATATATTATTGACTAATTTGCGATTGTCGGTAATTATCGACAGACTTTTTGAACTGTCGATAAAATTTATCGATGATTATTTTACTAAAGAATTTTCAGTTGTAAGTAAACGAATTATCGATGAATTGTTTCTGTTAGAAATGAAGTACCTTGTTTCGCAACACTAAGAGGAGGGGTGAATTGGTGAACAATAAAAACAAATGCATTTTAAATCTTTTCATAAACTTAGAATGATCTTTGACATTTCTTGTAATCTAAGTAATACGCGTATGCAAGGAGAGAAATACAAACAAAGGATTTATATTGGTTCGACCTCAATGCCTACATCCAATTTACCTTCTAATCAACCTTAGATTGAAGGATCTTTCACTATACACCAAAGGTTTTA